CTGAAACAAAGAAAAAAGAAAGGCTAAGATTAGACGAGTCCGTTGGTCTTTTTCCTAGTATATTTCTAGAATTTTAGATCATTTATTACGTCTAACTTTTGTTAAGACAATGATCACTGTATCATTAAGATACTAACAGCAATATAAGATTGTTAGTTAGAAATTAGTTTTCTAATTGAATAAATTATTCATTGAATATGAAATTTAATGTGTAAGTACTTTTTTTTTTTAACTTTATCGAGTTAAGATTGAAAAGGAATAAATAATATTTGTAAGAGTAACAAATTTAAATAAAATTTATATCAATATATAAATCTAGAAATAATGTAAATCGATATTATTAATAATAATAATAAATTATTAATTAATGGAATTATAATAATAAAAAAACAAAATCAGATTTAGACAGATTTACGGATTTACAGATTTAAAGATTTACAGATTACGGAGGAGTAGATTGCATTCAATTTTTTTGTGCTAAGATTTATGAGATTTTATATTTTAATTAAAAAAATATTGCAATATAAAAACGAAGAAATTATATTAGAAAACAAATTTAAATGCTTATTGGAGAAGAAAATAGAAAAAAAAGAATGTAAAAAAAAAATATAAAAAAAAAAATAACAAATATACGAATAAAAATTAACATAATATTATAAAAGTGTTTTTTCCGTGTTTACAATAAAAAAAACAACAGATCTGGCTTACTTGAATTTCTATTATATCACTCCTTTCCTTTTTTTCACCTAAGTGCCGCGAGTTTTTTGTTTTCCTTTTTCCTTTTTTTTTATCCTCAACTTACACGATATCGTAAGTTTCTTTTCGCAAGAATGAAAAGAAACAAATTATACTTGAGGAAACTGGTATTCAAGTGTACATCCAGGCTTAAATAATAAATAAAAGAAAAAAAAGACAACCTCAAGTGGAAAAAAAAAATATATATATATATATACATATATATACAAATCTGGGAATAAAGTAAAATAAAACTTTAGCATCTCCTGAGTACACAATGGGGAAGTAACGATAAAGAAGAAATAAAGTGGAAATCTGGGGAAGGGGAGGCCTGGCCTATGAAATGAAGATTTTAGTAAAACCATCCCCTTTTCTTCTTCGAGCTAAGAATCACGAGATTTTATCTCAGTTTGACCAGTAAGCGAGACGAACGAACGAACGGATGGATGGATGGATGGATGGATGGATAGAAGGATGGATAGAAAGATGGATGGATGGATGGATGGATGGATGGATGGATGGATGGACAGATGCGAGAACAAATTTTAACGTCGATATCGCGCGAAGAATAAGAAGAAGAAGAATAAGAAGAATAAGAAGAAGAAGAACAAGAACGGTTTGAAGAGTTAAAAGAGAGGGAGAGAGAGAGAGAGCAAAAGAGATAGAGAAAAATAGACAGAAAGAGAGAGAGAGAGAGAGAGAGAGAGAGAGAGAAAAGAGAGAGGTAGAAGGTAGGTAAGGGGGAGGGGGGAGTAGGGAACAAGAGGAGGTTCTGGGCGCCTCCGCCGACAACTTTGCTAATATGTGAGGCTTTCTGGGCTTTTCCATGAAAAGGGGGTTGCGAGACGCGTCGAAAGCGCAAGACACACGCAAAGTTGCTTCATTTCGAAAGTTTCCCTCCGTATACTCCTCTCTCTCTCTCTCTCTCTCTCTCTCTCTTTCTCTCTCTCTCTCTCGCGGCATTTCGCGATTTCTGCAATAGAATCGCCGCCGACTCTTCCTCGGGTTTCCTCAAGCTTCAGTTTCGCTTCTACCTCCCACCATCATATCTCTACCTCCTCTTACCACCACCTCCTCTATACCACCTTTATATCTCTCCGGTTGGCTCGGTTCGTCGTCGCGACGCGAAAAAGGAACTTACTTCTCCAAATTTTACCATTTCCACCTCCTTCACTTTCTCCACCTCCTAACTTCCACCTCATATACCGAAGCGTTTTTCAGGAGTCCTCTCTCGCCAACCGACTTTTCAAATTAATTTTTAAGGGTCTCACCATCGACGCGCGCTTCCTCGCGTTTTTTACTGGTGGTTTGATAACCAACCGGCCCAGTCCATCGGCCACAGCTTCAGTACCAGCAGCAACATTAGCAGTAGCAGTAGCAGCAGCAACAGCAGCAGCAATTCAACGCCAATCGTACCTTTCTTCATTCCTTTTTCTTTCTCTTTTTTTGTTCATTTTTTTCTTTTTTTTTTTTTTTCATTTTTTCTCTTTTATTTCGCTCTTCCTTTTCCATCATTGGGGGGGTTATCACCGTTAATACTACTATAGCTATCGTTGCTTAGTTCTCTCTTTTTCTCTCTTTGTCTCTGTCTCTCTCTCTCTCTCTCTCTCTTTCTCTTTCTCTCTCTTTCTATTTCTATCTTTCTTCTATTTTTTTTCCCTCGGAGAGGGATAAACGCGCAAGCAGCGCGAACTGCCTCGGACCCACTCGAAGAAAAAGTTCTGTTGATCCATGAGTTTGTTGGGCCAACTAAAGGCTTTTTGTTTAAAACCGGCGAAGCGGAGCGGAAATTTTTTCACCAAACTCTCTCTTTCTGTCTCTCTCTCTCTCTCTCTCTCTCTCTCTCTCTCTCTCTCTTTATCTCTCTAAAACAATCTCTATCTCTTTCTTTCCTCTCTATCTCGAGTGCACTCGCCTCAGTTCAGTAAAATAAACCCTCTGCCCATTATTTGTCTCGAAGGAGGATGGGAGCGGGAAAAAGAGAGACTATAGATAGATAGATAGAAATATAGATAGATCGGAGAATGTGGATAAACCAAGAGAGAATAAAAAGGAAGAAGAATAAGAATCGATGAGAGTCTAAAATATAACGTATTGGAAAAAGAAAAAAAGAGGACTGAGATTTAGAAAAGAAGAAGGAAACTCTCTCTCTCTCTCTCTCTCTCTCACCGTTAATTTAATTGTGCGTATATCAAACAAATAATGAATTATCTTCTCTCTTTCTCTCTCTCTCTCTCCGTTAATTTAATTGTGCGTATATCAAACAAATAATGAATTATCTTCTCTCTCTCCCTCTCTCTCTCTCTCTCTCTCTCTCTCTTTCTTTATCTTTACATCTACGAGCATTTCATGTAAAATATATACTAAAATATATAGGAGAGATTGTATCACTTAAGATACTTTTTTAACCATATTTTCTTATTTGATTCAACGATCTTTCCTTTTTTTTCTTCAAAGAACGAATCAATTTGTTGTAAATATTTTTATAATATGGCATAAAAAGTTTATAAACTTGTTAAACCATATCTTTTGTTTTAAGATAATAAATTTCTGGATTTAAATAATAAAAAATTTGATTATAAAAATGAACGTCTGAGTGACGTGATATTTTTATCGGTTAACAAAAAAAAAAAAGGATGATATTATTTATTAAATAACATATTTACGTTAATATTAACATATGTTATCGCTAATGAAAATGATCTTCCCATTTTTTTTTCTTTTTCTTTTTCTTTTTCGTTAGAAAGATAACACGGTAATGATAACTTGTATGATATGTGTGATTTAAAATATCTTCCGATAGTACGATTTAGGAAAAACATGATATATATATATAATATATATATATTATGTATAACAAGATATATATATAGATTTACATTTAATATTGGATCTCATTTGTATTTAGCAATAAAAAAAGGAAAAAAGAGAAATTGGTAAGATACAATTGAAATAACCAATATGTATTTAGTGTTGTAGAAAAGTAGTAACTAGACATGCATACATACATACATACATATATAATTCGAAGTTAACCACGAGGATCTTCCTCTGTCTCTCTCTTTTTCTCTCTCTCTCTTTCTCTCTCTCTCTCTCTCTCTCTCTTCTCTCTTTCACTTTCTCTCACTCTTTTACTCTCATAGGTAAAATCGGGGGATGAGCGTAATTTCGAGAAGCGACCGCTGCCGGCGACGGCTGCACGCATCTCGAGCTAAACCACACAAAGAATTATCGAACAGACCGTAGCCGTTTCTGGCAAATGCATGTCGAAACGAAAGAGAGAGATAGAGAGAGCAAAAAAGAGAGAGAGAGAGAGAGAGAAAAGAGACGGAGAGTGGACACGAGAGAGAAAGTGAACGCCAGTGCAGTCGTAGTTCGGACGTGCAAGCAGTATATCGTGTCGCGTGCATTTTTCATTGTCTCGTGTCCCTGTGACGGTGCAGTCGAGGAATAGAAAAAGAAGGGTGGTATAGAGATAGTGAGTAGGAGAGAAAGAGAGAGAGAGAGAATAACGTCGAAGAACGTACGACGTGCAGTCTGACGTGTGCATTGACGAGAAAATTGCAAGGGAGCTCGTGCACTTTCTCTCTCTCTCTCTCTCTCTCTCTCTCTCTCTATCGTCTTCTTCTTTTTCCCAGAATAATCGACCTCGTATATTATTTTCGGCTCTACGTCTTTCTTCCCAAAGAGAGAACGCGCATGCGCCAGAAAGAGACAGAGAGAAAAAGAGAAAGAGAAAGAGAGGGAGAGAGAGAGAGAGAGAGAGAACTATTTGCTGGCATACAAAATTCACTTTCTTAGTGTCATATCGATATTTCTGATTTAAGTGACAAAGTTATTCAAATTCTTATAGAAAAATAAATCAAACATTTTCACATTCTCTATTTACAGATACTCACGCACACACACACATTATATGTATACAATAGTTTAATATATATTCTATGACACAGATCTTAAAGTATTAGATGACGAAGACATTAGTATTAGAACGCGATTCATAGATAATTACATATTCCTCATTAAAATGATATCCTTCCTTTATTTTTCCTCTTTTCTCAGAATATATAATACACAAAATAATAATAGTAATAATAATAATAATAATAATAAACAATAATAATAATAATAATAATAATAATAATAATAATAATAATAATAATAATAATAATAATAATAATAATAATAATAATAATAATAATAATAATAATAATAATAATAAATATTCACGTAAATACGAGGAAGTTCAGAGAACGTGCAAGATA